ACCTACAATATTGATGAAGGAAATAAATTCAAATACCCTATAGAATAGATGCATTTTTCAGTTTTCAGTGGTTATTTCCAACTGGGTTCAATTACAATAACACTCTGAACATGCCTTGTTAATTTGACTATAACTCATGCTACACATAAGCTATTGACATGAAATAAATTTCTAAATTTTGGGGATATAATTTCCTACAACTTTTATGAAGGAATCAAGTCCTAATTTCACACGTATCAATCTCAGTAGTTCAAAAACCTAGACTGTTGAAACAGGGCTACCTCTTAACGTCATAACTAGAATACTTGACAGTAAAATGAGCATAACTTGAGCTATAAATATCCGTTTAATGTGAAATCAGTTTCTTAATTTCGACAACTTAAAAGAGCTACAACTTTCATGAAGATACTAATTTCTAATTCTGTTCACACAAGTACCAGAGATTCAATGAACATTACCTACGAATTAGGGTTCTTAAAGTTTTTAGCTTAACCACTTCTAATCCTCAATTTTAAGCATTATTCTAGTATTCTAGGTGTAAAACCTACGATAACATTCTTCCTACACCCATTCAAGCTCAGTCAAGTGAGGAGAAAAATAGAAAATACACCGTTTTAAAAAATAAAACGGTAAAAATGTAAAGGAGATTGAAGGTAAGGAAAGTTTTGAGAGAAAGGAGGAACCTACGAGGCCGGATGTAATAGAGATTTCAAACATAATCCGCTCAGCGCATTTCTGATGTGCCCAGCGGATTACATCCTACAAAAAAATTTATCTTTATTTTCTCCTTTTTACTCTAGCCAAGATTTGAACCCATAAACCCTAAGACTCCAATATCACTCCAAACCATATCAACCATCATATGTTTCTTGTCAATTTATACACATAATAAACTTTTAATGTACCCACACTCAATGCATAAAAGAAAACAATAATTTCTAAATGTGACAATTAAAATTGTTAAGTCCATACTAAACGTTCAGCACACACATAAGTATTTTCTAAAAATTCCCGAAAATAATAAATAATCTAATAAACATAAAACTCTAAAGTTACTTTACCCAATTCCTAATAATTTAATTATTAAAATTTTGACAAAGATTTTGTCAAAATTTAACAAACCAGGGATATTGAGAATTAGGATGTTACAATACATAGACCTAATTATATTTTTTTTATCATTTTGGTTGAAGATTATTTTTTAATGTTCTAACTTTAAATAAAGACAAGGTCTTGAAGTGTGGATCGAGGATAATTATCCATTTTAGGATCATATTATGAAAACTTGCTTGATATAGAATTTAACTTATTCTTGTAAATAAAAATAATTAGATTCTTATGTAATTTTGTTTGTATACAAATTCCATCCATGTTTATATTATTTTAAATAATACTAGTACAAGTATTGAATATTTATTATCCAAAAAAAAAATATTCTTATTATTCAAGTTTACTCCATTTGAAACATCTTTAAATTTTTATGAATGTAACTTTTTAAGTTTTATTAAATGAGTTGAATACTTAATTTTTTTTAGAAATTTTTTTATTTAATTTAGATTTTGTTAAAAAATGTTTTAATTAGTCAAAGTTTCATTTGGTTTATTTAAATATTACTATCAATCTCAAGTAAATTAAAAATCATTAAATAATTAATTGATTTTTTTAATTTATATAATTAAAGTAATAAGGTTAAACATAGTTTTTGAGTGTTACATTTTTTTTAGCTTTTAAATATTTTTTTAGTTGTAACAAATTGAGCTTAATATGTATAGTTGTTTTAAATTTGTATTTTTGTTTAAATTTACCTTTGTTTACTATTTTATTTTATTATATTATATTATATATATATATATATATATATATATATATATATATATATATATTGTGTTGATTTTAGTTATATTGAATTCTATGATTTTAGGTTTTCATCAAATCTATGGTTTGCTAGATTTGGATTTTTTATTATTTTCTACAAATTTCCTATATTTTTTATAAGTGTTCGTTTGGTTTGACCTTTTAGTTTTGGTTTGGACTTTTTAATTGGATCCTGTGCTTGAAATTTAGACGAAAGAAAAGTAAGGACGAAGAACGCGTGATATGGGAGCAAAAATTTCTTGCTGTAATCATTCCTCCCCCATTCGTACATATATAAAAAATTGGTGTGCGGAGGAAACTTCATTACGAAGTTTTTGCACGATAATTTTTGCACGATAATATTATTATTATTATTATTATTATTATTATATATATATATATATATATATATATATATATATATATATATATATATATATATATATATATATAAACATATGTCACAATCTCCCTTCCACAAAAATTTTTGTCCTCGAAAATGAACTTACTAGGGAATAGATATGGATAGGACTCTCGCATCTGATCCTCCATCTCCCAAGTGAAGTCTCCAGATTTCTGATCCCATATTACATTCACCATTGAGATGGTTATACCTCTAAGTTGCTTCAGCTGAGAATCCTCTATCCTCACTAGTCTCACATCAACGAAGAGATTGTCTCTAATCTGCACATTGTCGGACTCCAGGACATGACTGGGGTCATGCACATATTTCCTCAACTGATATACATGAAATACATTGTGCAGATTCACCAAATGAGGTGACAACGCTAACTGATATGCCACTGGACCTACCTTCTTCAAAATCTAATATGGGCCAATAAGCTTGGGAGTCAACTTCTTATACTTTATTGCCCTTCCTACTCCAGTAGTAGGTCTGATTCTCAAAAATACATGGTTTCCCCCCTCAAATTCCAAAGGTCTCCTCCTCTGGTCCGCATATGATTTTTGTTTACTCATAGCGGCCCTCAGCTTCTCTTGTATCTCCCGGAACTTCTCTGTAGTCTGCTGGAGTAGCTCAAGTTCGATCAACACTTTCTCCTCATATTGATACCAACATAAAGGTGTTTGACACCTCCTCCCATAAAGAGCCTCATATGGTGTCATCCCAATACTAGCATGATAGTTGTTATTATACGTGAACTCTATTAATGGAAGAATATCATCCCAACTTCCTAGATTATCCAACACACAAGACCTCAACAAGTCTTCTAGTGACTGGATGATCCTCTCCGACTGTCCATCTGTCTGGGGGTGATAGGTTGAACTCAACGTAAGTCGGGTACCTAATGCCTCTTGTAAAGTCTGCCAGAATCGTGAAGTAAATCTGGGGTCCCTATCTGAGATAATGCTAGATGACACTCCATGTAATCGAACAATCTCGCGAATATAGTTGTACCAGCTTAGCCATAGATATCCTCAAATTTACGGAGAGGAAATGTGCACTCTTTGTCAATCTGTCCACTATCACCTAGATCGAATCGTGCCTCCGAACTGTCCGTGGTAAATGGGTAACAAAATCCATGGTAATGTTATCTCACTTCCACTCAGGTATCTCCATTTGCTGTAGCATTCCTCCAAGCCTCTAGTTTTCCACTTTTGCTTTCTAACAAGTCAAACAAGCATCCATAGTCCAATTATACCTTTAAACATTTTCTATTATTTTTTTTTCATCCTGAAATATTAAATTACTATTTTGCCCTTAATCTTTTCTTAAAATTTCATGTATGTCCCTAAATGACTATTTTACCCTTGGACATTTTCGAAAATTCTTTCCATATCCCGAAAATGACTATTTTACCCTTAGACATTTTCAAAAATTCCTTCCATGTCCCTAAAATGATTGTTTTACCCTTGATCTTTTTCAAAAACCCCCCTTATCCCTTTCTTCAACCTCGCATCCAGTAACGGTATCAAATTTTGCAGATTTCCAATTTCTCAGTATCTGACAACCAAACTGGTTTCAAATTCAAATTAAACATGAACTATGTTCATTTAAGTCAAAAATAACAATTTTACCATATAATTCATCCTTAATTTCAAGAATTTCAAGAAAATTTCAAACTTTTCAAACATGAAAAAATATTTAAAATCAGTCGTTCAATACTTCAAATTTCCACTATTATTCCTTATTGTCAGAATACCCAATAATTCGAGTCTCATATATTGAATGGATTAAACTTCCCCTTACCTTATGTTGTATTTTTACCGAAGTTTTCTCACTTAATTCAAACTTTCTCCGTTTCACCGAGATCTTGCACGAGTAGAGTATTGTTTGTTTGAAATTTAGACGAAAGAAGAATAAAAACGAAGAACGTGTGATATGGGAGGGATAATTTCTTGTTGTAACCATTTTTTTCCTTTCGTACATATATAAAAAATTGGCGTGCAAAAAAAACTTCACTTCGAAATTGTTTACACAATAATTTTTACATAATAATATTATTATAATATATAAAAAAAAACATATTATTTTAGTTTGCATATTTAGAATATCCATCTTCGTATCTTTTCTCAGTTTTTATAATAAACTTTTATATTATCTCGTCTTTTGTACTTCATTTTTCATTAAATGAGAATAAAATCTTGATATTCTTTACATTAAGATAAAACAATATCATTTAACATTCAAACCTTTTTCTTATTCTATCTAAGGTTAAATTTGCATTTTACGTCACTGATTTGCTTTTTTTTTTAATAATTAAATTAGAAATTAATTAAATCTTGATTTAATAATTAAATACATATGAGATTGAAAGATATTTTGATTTGATTTATAATTCTGATTCAATAAACTTTTTTTAAAATTGATTAATTGATTTAACTTTATATTTATTTTTTACTTTGATATTATTACACATACCTATGTTGTGCACGTGGATTATCTAGTTTAAGAAAGAAAAAATATATCATAAAATGATAAGTAGAAAGAGATTAAAGATTGGGGTGTGGATATATGCAACGGTGTTTGTGTGAGCGATTGGTCACTATCAAGTTCAGGGAATTTACATGATTGCCACCGAGGAAAGCAATAATAAATCGGTTGATATGTGTGTCGTTTTCTTGTGCGTATGATACGAACGACAGTAAGAGAAAAAGTGGCGTCAAGTCCCATCAAATGAAAGAACTCTTTTCTCTGATGGGACCCACCGTTTCCTCATCCATTGATGAAATTTCTTCTTCCTTTCTCCCTGTTCTACACTTCACAGTCATTTTTCTCTACCTAGCAATTTCCATTTCCCTTTCATATTTTTTTTATCAAATGATATTTTTTATTCTAATTCCTATAAAAATTGTAATCTATTTCCAATAAAAAATAATTCCTTATTTATTAGAAAATATACGTAACTAATATTTGATTTAATTTAATTTCTTAATTATTTTACTCTTTAAATTTTAAACTTTTTACAATATCCGATTCTCAATTTGACACATTTTTATTTTTAATTTTTAATAAATTATTTTTTTATGTTACTTTAAACAAATAGAAAGATCTGACCCGGTTCATTGAGTAGTATATATCACACTGTTGTAAGGTCATGGTTCTTTTCATTAATTTCTATAAAAATGTTATATTAACCTTAATAGGATGCAAATAAAAAATAGAAACCCATATAAAATTAAAATCACAACAAAATAAAATGTCTAAAGTCATGTATAAAATTAAAATAACAAATATAATTTAATTAAATATTTAGATATATTCGTATTTGTGAATAATACATGTGACATATACATTTAAATATAATTTATAAGAATTAATGTTTTAAAAGTTTTAATATTATTATATCATTAATTATTAAAATATCTGGTGATAAATACTACAATCAGTTATTACATAGAAAAAATCTCATCACTTTGATAAAGAAAAATTATTTATTTAAATATTTTACGTTATTATTTTTTATTTTGAAAAATATAAAATAAATATTTATGATATCATATTATCTTAAATAACTTAATATTATTTCACTTTATTAATTTTTTTAATAAATTTTTAAAACTTAGTATATCTTATATTCTTTTTCGTTGTGATTTTATTATTTATTTATCAAGAAATTAAAAAAAAACTTTTAAATAACTTGTGATATTATATGAATTCCTCTAATAAAAAATTGAAGAACTAATATTTTATTTAAATATATACATAAAATATTTTCATTAAAAACATTTTTAATAACGATTTAAAAAATTATATATAAATTATCCTAATGAACAGATTTTTATCTAGTTTTTTTATTAACTATTAAAAATTGAACAAATCTTTATCTTTTATTAACTATTAAAAATTGAGTAAATCATTATCTAATATTTTTATTAACTACTAAAAATTGAATCAAGATAAGTTATTAAGAGTTTGTTTGTTATTACTTTTAAAAACGTATTTTAGTTTTTAAAAATTAAAAAACTTGTTTTGGAATTATTTATTTAAAATAGCTTTTAAAAGCTGTTATATGTATTTTTCTAGTTTTTAAAAACTAAAAAAATAAAAATTATGATAAGGCGATTTACGTTGCATAAAAATAAAAGCTGTTATATGTATTTTTCTGTTATATGACTAAAGGATGTACATGGGATGAAAAAGTTTTGATATTTTTATTTATAATTGGACACCATGTTCACCATCGGGTGAATTATTGCATATCGCTTACCTTCAACAAAAAATATTTCACATTATTTGACAGAAGTATTGAGACACTAGTACAAAAATGATATTTTACGTCACTTAATTGTCGTCACATGTCAAAATATTAGACGTAAATAAAACACGGTGACAATTTTGTAAATAAGAGGTGAAACTTTTACGTCGCATATTGTAAGAGGTGACGTTAAAAACCTCTTTTACGTCACACCTGGTACAACGCTACGTAAAAGAGAGCTTTTTAAGTCACGTGGGGTGTGCACGACATAAAAAATAATACTTTTTACGTCACGTGGGGGGTGCACGACGTAAAAAGTATAACTTTTTACGTCACATGGGGGGTGTGCGACGTAAAAAGTGATATTTTTTACGTCACGTGGGGGTGCACGACGTAAAAAGTATCACTTTTTACATCACATGGGGGTGCGTAACATAAAAAGTGATACTTTTTACGTCACATGGGGGTGCGCGACGTAAAAAGTATCACTTTTTACGTCACGCACCCCCCACGCGACGTAAAAGAGGCTTTTTACGTCACGTGCTAGGGTGTGCGACGTAAAAAGTTCTTTTTATTCTCTTCCAGACCCACTCCCGCATCTCGCGCCGCAAGGGTTTTTTAGAACGACAATGAGAACGACGACAACAACTATCTTTCCACACCATTTTCGATCATTTTGGCAGTGAAGAACATCAACATTGTGTCTCATTTTACGAATTTGACATTTCTCCCCGATTGGATTCGAGTTTGAAATGGTTTTTGTGTTTACTCGAGGTTAGTATTCTATGTCTCCTGATATATGTTCAAATTGAATCCGTGATTGTTTTTGGGGATCTCAATCACGTCATTGTATGAATGTCTCCACTGGATTGTTATTGGAATGTCATTATTTTGTTTGAATGCATTTTCGGTTTACACACTCCATATACGTGCTTTGTTGTTTGTATATTAATTTATTTTTAAATATAAATTTTGAATCTTTAGGAGTGACGAAACTTTATAACATAATATGAATCGAAGTTGGATGAATGCACGTCGTATTAGTGAAAAGTACGAAAAGGGAGTTGATGAATTTTTGAAATTTGCTAGTGAAAATGGAAAAGGTATTGAATAAGGAAAATGATACTTTGACAACTCAAATCCATACAACTCTTATAAACAAATCTCTTTTAATATTATAATAATAATTTTACTTTATTTTTATTTTTATTAAATGATTCTATAGATTATTATATTAATAAAAGTGAGTTGTTTGAAGGGTTATATGGTTTTTGGTTGTCAAAATATCACCACTCATTGAATAATATATGGCTTTTTTTTCATTTAGAATCGTGTCTATAACTAATGTTCTAAGTGGAAAACCCAGAACAAAGACTTTGCAGTTCATTTATCCTAAGGTTATAAACTTATTATAATAAGTGAATACCATAATTATTGTTTGTATTTAAATTTTGAAAATAACATTATATTTTATTCATCATTTCAGTGTAATAAGCAAACAAACTCATTTGAATGTGGTTACTATGTTATGTATTGGATGAGAGCCATAGTTTGTGCGGGTATAACTGATTCTTGGATGGAGGTAATTGTTTTCAGCATTAGTTAAGTTTATTTAACTTTATGTGTGTTGCATGTTTACAAGAGTCAAATTAATGTTTTAGATATTTCAAGATCCATCTTCATTGCCAGAATATGATATCACACAAATTAGAGAATAATGGGCAATGTTTTTCGTTCAACAATTCTAGTACTTAATTTTTTAGGTTATTGTTTATATTATAGTGTGTGTATTATGTAGTTTAGGTAGCTTAGTTTGTACTAACTTTTAGTTTGTATTAACTTTTAGTTTTTAATAGATTTTAGTTTGTAGGTTATTGTTTGTATTATATTATTTTATTATGTAGTTTGAATTATATATAATATTATATATTTTAATTACATAGCTAAAGAAACTTGAACCTCGGATTGTTTGGTTATAATATATATTTGCAGGTTTTGGTTGTAAGACAAATAAATCCAATTTTTTTTTAAAAAGGAGCAAATTTACGTCGCATATTGGTATATGCGACGTCAATTTACGTTGCGTATACCAAAATTGACGTCGCATATACCAATATGCGACGTAAATTTACGTCGCGTATAACAATACGAGACGTAAATTTGCTCCAAATTTTTTAATTTTTGATACTTTTTACGTCCGTTTAGTGTAAATTCAATGTAAATTAACGTCGGGTCTCGATAAGCTGACGTGAATTTACGTCGAGCTAAGAGTCCGACGTAAATTTACGTCTCCCATTTTAACGTCAGTCTTAAATGCGACGTAAAAAACTCAAAATACCTCACGTAAAAAACCTTTTTTGTACTAATGAGAGTAATGTATCGATTGGAAAATGAATTTATAAAACAAAAGAGTATTTAGAATTGTCATGTAAAATAAAAAAATAATCAAAATATTATTATTATTCAAGGTTATAGTAGTTATTTTTATATAGTTTATTTATTTATTCTATTATGTTAATTTTTTTATTGGGATTATTTTTTATACAATTGCATAAGTACAATTAATGGGATACATGTAAGTGCACCAGTTCTTGTTAAGAAACAAATTGTGTTGAGGTATAAAGGCAACAATCACACAAAATGGTATATTTGTGATTTAATATGATGTTAGGGAGGGAGGGAAGCACACATGATGCAAAAGTTTTTTTTATGCACTTACTGACCCATAACCATATGATTCACGAAGTTAATATTTGAACTTAATATGCACTTTTTTTTTACTTAGATTCATTTTATCTTTTTGACTTTTTGTTATCCTTGTTTTCTCTTTTTTTAAAGAAGAAACATATGGTACACAAGAATATCATGGTCAAAATAGACAATAAAAAAGTTGTAATGAATTATTTAATATAGACATTATCTCTAAAAATAATAATTAAATATTACTTAGGAGTCCTTTAAAATAGATTTCCTATTTTGAAGGTGATGGGTCCAAGTAAACCTTCTAAACAACAATATACCAATTTTTTTTTGAAAGTGAAAGTTGTAACACAAAATAACAACCACCAACATATATATATATATATATATATATATATATATATATATATATATATATATATATATATATATATATATATATATATATATATATATATTTTTTTTTTAAAGTTAGAAATTATTTAATCCATTTAAGTGACAAAAATTATCTTTTAATCAGTTAATTTTGTTTTGTATGTTTAAAAACTAAAAAAAAATTCATTTTAATAAAATAATTATCTAACAACTTTTTTAGTTTTTAAACATTAAAAAATTGAAAATTAATTTTAAAAACTACAATCAAACAAGTAGGTAAGAAATAATATTATTTGGTTGAAGTAAAATATAAAAGAAAATGAAAATAGTAAAAATATATGTATTTGGTTTGAAAAAAAGGAAAATGATAATTTTGAATGATTTTTATTATTAATATTTATTATTTTATTGTTATATTATTAATAATATTTTTATTTTTGTTAATTTTACATTTATTATTTTACTGTTATTAATATATTATCAATGTTATAAAAATAAGAAGTAGAAAAAAGAAGAAGTGTGTGCACAAGATTGGAGAGAGTGGAATTAGGTATTGTGTCAATTTGAAAAGTAAGGGGATGAGGTTATATGTTACTAAGTAATGAATTTTGAACGTTGGATTTGGTTGATTTAAAAAAAAATGTGATTCGATTTTATTTTTAAATTTTTAATTCAAGCTAATATTAAATATATTATAATAAAATAATTATTTGATAAAAAATATATTATAAAAATATTATGTATAATTAATCATGATATTTATAATTTTAATTTATTTTTATATATAATTTATAAAAAAAATATTTTAAATTATAAAAAAATAATTGATTAAATTAAAAAATATTATTTTATATTTTAATTTTAGGAATATTTATTATAATTTTAATTTGATTATTATGAGATTCTAAATAGAATAAAACTAATTTTAAAATTTTTTAATAAAAAATATCCAAAGAAAATCAATTTTAATTTATTTTTACCATGACTTCATCTTCAAAATGTGGTGGGAAATGCTTAAACATGATGATTTGGATCTTGTCCAAAATCTCTTGAAGTTCTTTCTTTTAGTTAGGAATCTCGGTGGTTACTTCTTTTAGTTAAGAATCTCGGTGGTTATTTCTAGGGGATCAATGTTAATAAATTTATGGAATTCATTTACTAAGTTAAGCGCATCGAGTTAAAGTGGAGGTGTGGAAGAAGAACTAACTGTCGATTTGAATAACTTTATATGAGTTGTCATAAGGTCCAAGATGCTTTAGTTGGAGAATTAGTGGGCGCTATGATCACCTCACAAGGAATGGTCTCTCGAAGCACAACGACAACTAGTTGGTTAAGAAATTTTGTAAAATATATATTTGAATCAATAAACATGACGAAATAAATGTGCTTTCGAGTGATATCTAAGGAAAATTAAACATAAAATAATTTATATAAATAAGAGAATTATAGACGTAAAGATCTCAATATTTGAATCGGTCGGAGAAGGTGAAGTATATACACCTTGTATTTCCTAGGAAGAAGCAATTTAACTTAAGATATAGAAAAATAATGATAGAACAAAATGTGAAATAGATAAGCACATATATCCATAAAATCAAGTACCTCGATAAAAGATGGGACTAGAGGAGTTGAGCATAAAATGCTCAAGTAGTGAATCCAAGTTACTTGAGATGTTTGTTAAGGTTACATTCAGTCATAGAAATGTACCTACGAATACAAGAATGATAAAATCTACAGTCAATTCTGGACAAAAGAAAAGAAAAGTACCTGCCTCAATTTGGACCTGCGACAGGATGTGAAGAGCGATACCTCCTCATTCTTAAAATTGGAATCGACAATGGTGGTAGGTTGGATGGAGACGTCCATAGTTAAGGGTGTCAATTCCTATTAGGATGAAATCAACACTAGATGAACAATTTATTGAATAAAGTTAACTCACTAAATACAAACAAAACATAATACCTTAGGAGGAGTAGCAACAAATGGTGTTGTAGAAGGTGTGACCTTCGATTTGGATTTCTTTTGAAAAAATAAAAGATATACTATAAGAGAGAAACCAACACCAGATAAAAGAATAAAGGTGTTAAAGGAATTGACTATACTTTGCAGGGAACATAACCGTGAATTTTTCTTTTCTTTTGGATGGTAGGGGGTTGTGGTGCAAGTTTGGCAGCTTCAAAAGTTTTCTTGGTCTTGGTCTCAGGGTCTAGGATCCTTATTTATGATGAAACTGAAGACAAAAACTAGATTCAAGACATGAGAAAAATTTGAGCAAGTAAATACACAAAGATAAAATGAATAACAAAGAATAAATCTCTTTAAAAGATGTACTAGTCAAGACAGATATGAAAACAATGAGGGGGAAATTGATGACAATGTGAAACATGTCCCTACATTCCCAAGAGATGATTTTGATGATGATTCAAGTCAACAACATTCAAGACTCAAGCAAGCCTAAGATATGATTTTAATAAAGATTTCATTCAAACATCAAGCAAGCCCAAGATGATTCTTGAAGACTATATAGAGGCTTAGAATATGAAGGTACAAGTTGATGAAATGGTATTATGCATAAGCCTCCAAAGCACAAGTGTGATAAAATTTCATAACATAACTGTCATAATTGATTATGATACATCAAAAATGGAAAGACGATTTTGTCTTTGTCATAATCAATTATACTGGTAACATAATCGATTATGACAGTTCAAATTTAAAAAATATATCTTTTTTGAAGAATAAATATTTTTTAATACATCCCGATTTTTCTCTACAAAAGTATTAATGACCGACAACTATTTTCTGATGCTATTTTCCTATTTAAATGAATTTTGATGAAAAATAAAATACACAATTATAGAATTCGAAAATTCAATTTACATTCAATTAGTTTTGAGAAAAGAATTATGAGCAAGACAACAGAGATATTTTACACCTTCTAAGAAAACTCTTTTCTCTACTGCCTTCTGTGCTTTCATTGTTAATCACACTTGTCCTTGGAGGTTGGCATTCTATAGACTTCTACAATTTGTTGTCTCCATTACCAGGTGTCACTGTTCTAATTTTATTGTCTTTATCCTTTTGTGGGTTTAAGAGGTTTAAATTAATCAATTATGTTATTTTAGGGTTTCCTATGTGGAAACTGTTCATCCCTTTGATTTGTTCAGGGAGGTGTTCATCCTTAGTGTGATTCTAGGGAGGTGTTTATCCTTTGTGTGTTGGTGGCAAAGGAGGTGCTTTTCATTTTTTGATTTGTTCAGAGGAGGTGTTCATTCCTAGTAAGATTTTAGGGAGGTGTTCATCCTTAGTGAGTTATAAGGAGGTGTTTTCATCCCTTTGATTTGTTCAGGGAGGTGTTTATCCCTAGTGTGATTCTAGGGAGGTGTTCATCCTTTGTGTGTTGGTGGAAAATGAGGTATTTTTCATCCTTTGATTTGTTCAGAGGAGGTGTTTATCCCTTGTGGAATTCTAGGGAGGTGTTCATCCTTAGTAGGTTTCTAAGGAGGTGATTGTGTTTTTAATTAGTTTACTCTTTACTGGTTCCTCTGCTGAGTTGATTGTAATTTGTAAACTGAATTTTAAAGATAGTGAATTGGGGTCACTCTTGTGTTAGAGGTGACTGGGAACTGGATGTAGGGTTGGCTATACCCAAACTAGTATAAATTACTGTGTTATATTCTCTTCACTTTATGACTCTTGGTTTTTGTATATTTTTCCCTATACCTTTTTATTATATTGCTTCCGCTTTATCTGTATTTTATCTGATAATTAAAATTGAATTAACAAATTATTGGACATCTTAAATAAATTTTTAATTTGACATCTAATTTAATTTGTGTATCTATTCACCCCCTCTAGATGTCATTTGTCTAACAAGATACATGTTAAATATGAGTTTACCATGATGGAAGGCTAGACTCAGATAAGTGAAGATAAAGGTAATAAGATAGTTTTGAAACGACAATAGATTTGTTTATTGGTTTGAGATAAAATATCTCATGATCTAGTCTTAGATCTCTAATATATTTTGGATGTGTTAAAGGTTTAGAAATACTGAAAGGAGCATATGGGAAAATAGGCAAGTTAGTTGGACAATATTTTTCGAATATGATTTTTCTTAAGGGGTTTTGAATATTTAACAAATATCAATTTCGATGGATTTTTTTTTGGAAGGGAAAAGGCCACACTTCTACAGGTTGATTCTAACCTTAGGGGATCATAGAGTTCTTGGTAAAAAATTTCGAACTTTAATATTTGAAGGTAGTTCTCCTGTTTACCTTTTTTTAACCTTTGATTTGTCTTGCACCACAAAAGAAGGATGATTGATCAATCTCTTCTTATTTTCTTCAAAAGAATCATGTGTTGAGGAGAACCAATAATCCCAACATGAGAAAAACTTGAGTGTGCACAAAAAATTGACTTCAAATTGTGTAGGGTAAAACTTGAGCATTTCCCAGGGAGCAACTCTAAAAAACTCCTTGTTATTTGATTCGGTAAGAACAAAATTGATGTTGATGGCACGATAAAATCTAAGGAGTGGGATCGCTTGGCTAAGGCCAAATTATCGATAGAAATACTAAGGCATGTAACAGAAAAACTTTACACCCTTGAAATCGAAGCCAACTACCAGAATATCCCATGTGAGGAAATGATTCCATCCAAGGATGCCCTCAAATAGTCTTTGGGCCACTCCCCAACCTTTTAAATGGAGCTAGAAGGATGTTAACCTCCTTTTTATTCAATACAAATTTAAGGAATGTTTTATAATGGGTATCAATGGCTCAAAATGCTTAAGGATGTCGAGTTGCTAATCGAACACCGTCAAGGAGGAATAGAGGAATGGGGTGTAAAGTTGGAGGAAGAAGGGACTAAAAAATCGCCACCAACCATAGTTGGATGAACCATGAAGGTCCAAAGAGATTCTTGCCAGGTTGATGAGATCTTAGAGTATCTACAACACTACTACAAATAAGGCTTTCCACGTCAGTTCTGGAAGGCCTTCAACGGCGGTTCCAAAACCGACGTTGTATCAGGCGACGTTAAAAGTTAAGACTTTCAACGTCGTTTCTATTTAACCGACGTGGAAAGTCTGATTTTTCAAATCGAAAATTTTTATTTATTTCCAACCCCTTAGTGTTGGAGGCTGATACTCCAACCACTAAACTACTCGAATTTTTTGATAGTAACTTACAAATAAATTATATTTATATACAAATAAATATATATACGTGTAAATATATAAATATATAAATACAAATATATTTATATATTTTGATATATTTATATAATTATATATTTATATGTTGGATGTGAGGGCACGATCGAAGGTGAAAATGTGTGTCGAGTAGGTTTTAAAAATTTGATGCCAAATTTATGAGAGGGTCTCTTTATATGGGTTTGTAATTTAATGACAGAATATAATATTTATAATTTATTTATATAATGATATAAAATAAATTTGGGAAACGCATCATTCACTCAAGTGACACATTCGCTCAAGCGAAAAATACCAATTTTCGCTCAAGCGAGGTTTGAGCGAGTGAATATCCAGTGAGCTTTAACGTATTTTCACTCAAGCGAGAGTCAATCTCACTTTCACCCTCGAACGCGCTCTCACATCCAATATATAAATATATAACTATATAAATATATATAAATATATCAAAATATATAAATATATTTGTATTTATATATTCTATATTTATATATTTACACGGATATATATTTATTTGTTTATAAATATAATTTATTTGTAAATTATTATCAAAAAATTATAGTAGTTTAGTGGTTGGAGTATCAATTTTTAACTCTAAAATACTAGATTCAAACTTAAGTGAATTTTTGACTGAAAAAAATAAAAACACTTTCCAGAAAATATATATAAATAAATATATATTTACACGGATATATATTTATTTGTATATAAATATAATTTATTTGTAAGTTATTATTAGAAAATTACAATAGTTCAGTGGTTGGAGTATCAACTTTCAACTTTAAAATACTTGGGTTCAAATTTTGTTAGTGACAATTCTCTAACTTAAGTGAATTTTTGGTTGAAAAAAAATAAAAACACTCTCCAGAAAATATATATAAATATAATTAATTTGTAAATTATTATCGAGAAAATTACAGTAGTTTAGTGGGTAAAAATACATTCAACGTCGATTCATCTGGAACCGACGTGGAAAGTACTTTCTACGTCGGTTGACTAAAAATCGACGTAGAATGTGTCCAACTTTCAACGTCGTTTTTTAACCAACGACGTGGAAAGTGT